GCTTTTGGAGATACTTTTGTAACCCTTTCCAGCTTCATGCAAGTCAACAATTCTTGATGGTAGGTCTTCTGAGAGCTCTTTTCTGCGAGGCATGGTTCACATCAGACAGTGCTTCTTGAAACCAGTAAACCCAAAACAGGTGTGTGTTTTTTTAAGGGCAGGACAGCTGTCAGCAACACATCCAATATCATCACACTGATTGGAGTCAAGGTTGGCTCACTCCTGGCTCCAATTAGCTCTGGGAGAAGTCATTAAGCTAGGGTCTCACATACTTTTTCCTCCCTGCACTGTGAATGTTTGCATGTTATGTGCAATTAAACCATGGCAACATCTAATGTTTGTGTAGTATTATGTTCAGCAGACTGTGTTCTTCTATTGTTGTGACTTAGATGACGTTCACAGCACATTTTATGCCCAATTCATGCAAAACTCCACGTAATCCCAAGGGGTTCACATACTTTTTCTTGCAACTGTAGCTGGGGGTTTCCAGCATGTTTATTTGGATGGAAAAACGGTCACCCTGCAAGATTGAGGTTCCCAGAAGAACTATGGTACTTTTGCGAGAGACTAGAACTACAGATAATAGACATTCCAGGATGGGAAGAAGGGGTAAAGGAAAATATGGGAATAGAAAAAGAGAGATGGCAGTTAGTCCCCAAAAAGAGAACTCATCAAAGATAAAATAAGAGGGGCAGAGGAGGAATTGCGTGGTGACTTCTTTTTTTTTCTCTCCTCTCTCTCTTCTTCCTTCTCCTAGGCAGGTTAAGAATTTTAGAAGACAGGCGGGGAACGGGAGGTCACACATGTATCTGGATTCACGACCCAGGGATTGGGGACACGGGTCTGGTTGGGTGTATGTGGTCAGAGTTTCACCCCAGATTGGAATCGATAGTGGGACTAGGACCACAAATGATTCAAAGACAAGACATGGGCCAAGGGGTTGCTAGGGGGATGGGAGTTGGGTTGGGAGAAGGTGGAGGGAATGGTATGGGCGGGAGAAGGGAAGGGATAGGGGATATGGATTATGGTGGAGATATCTTTGTGTTCCTGATGATAAATATCTGTACTTCCTTCGGGACGAATATAGTAGGAGAAAAAGGAAAATATAGGAAATGGAAGAGGTTAGTTTTATGACCTGTAATGTAAAGGGATTGAATACCCCGGTGAATTCTTAGAAAATTACAACGTTCTATTGAAGTAGTGTTTTTACAAGAGACTCATTTATCTCAGGAAACAAATGTTAAGTTATACTCTAATTATTATCCAACCTGGTATTATGCAGATTCACCAACTAAATGCGCTAAATTGGTATAGCAAAGAATTTAAGATTTAATATCGAGGATAGGTGGGTGGATCCTGAAGGTCGATTTCTGTTTTTGAGGAAGAGATTACAGGAAATGGAATGTGCATTATCAAATATTTATTGTTCTAATAAAAATCTAATGGCTTATCTGAAGAATACACTAAGAAAGCTTTTGGATTTTAAGAAGGGCAAACTAATTGTGGCAGGAGATTTTAATTTTTGCATGGACCCCCAGGTGGATACATCGTCACATGCGCAGCAAGATGGAGGTAAATGTATAAAATCTATCCCAAAAATGCTATATCAGTGTCAACTCATGGATTCCTGGAGAATTAAACACTCCAGAAAAGAGATTATACATTCTATTCCCCTGCACATGCAATGTACTCTGGGTTAGATTATATGATGATAGAACATAGACTCTTGGGGGTTTATTTACTAAAGTTGGAGAGTCCAAAATCAGACTCCCTTCTGCATAGAAACCAATCAGCTTCTAACCTCAGCTTGTTCAATGAAGCTTTGGCAATGAAACCTGGAAGCTGATTGGTTTCTATGCAAAAGGGAGTCTGATTTTGGACTCTCCAGCTTTAGTAAATAAACCCCTTGGAGTCTCTGGTTAAAGTAGATATAGAGGTTACATCAATATCAGATCATACACCTGTCCACAATGAAGTTACAATAGGGAAGAGAACATACCAAGATAAATATGTGGAAATTGAATGAGATGCTCCTCTAGGATCATGAGACGGAAGTGAGAATAAAAAAAGAAATAGCAAAATTCTTTAAAGCAAATGAGAAAGTTTCAATTGCTACAGTGTTGGAAGCGCATAAGGCATAAATCAGGGGAATTCTGATTGCAATAGGATTGGAAAAAAAAAAAGAAAGAACAGCAGAAGAAAATAAACACGTTAATAGGGGAATTATATGAACTAGAACAATCACATAAAGAGAACAGTAAAAGATATTCAGCAGAAAATAATTAAAAAAAGAGATGAACTAAACAACTTAATGGAACAAGAAACGAGGAGAATATATAATATGATGGCAAGAGAAAGATATCAGTGGGGGAATAGACCTGGTAAATATTTAATGAGAACATTGAGAAATAAGAAATCGAGGAACTTTATAGAGAAAATGAAAGATGATAATGGAGAATTGGTATATTCAACCACTGATATCGCTAATGTATTTCAAAAATACTACAGGAAGTTATGCGATGTAAAACTGAAAAACCTAAAAGAAGGGGATGTAGAAAGAACTAGAAAAAGACAGATGCATTTAAAGGAGGCGGGATTACCGAGATTGGGAGAAGAAAATTTGGCATTTTTAGAAAAACCAATAACACAGGAAGAAATTCAAGGGGCACTGAAGAGTACAGTCGCAGGGAGGAGCCCTGCACCAGACGGTTATACAGTGAGATAATATAGGAAATTTAAATAACAATTAGTTCCTAAATTGAGTGTATATATGAACGCACTAGGAGATGAGATGGAAATGAGGGAGGAGTCATTACAAGCACACATTATGGAATGGATTCATTTAAATCAAGTGGAGTTTATCCCTGGGAGAGAAGGAAGAGATATTGGGTTAAGAGGAGACACACTGGATGGAACTCTGCATGTGTAAACAATGCAAAGCTATGTCCTGTCAGTGGGGATGTGCTGGATTTTGTTTCCCTGAAAAGCAGGGAATAAAATCCAGCACATCCCTTAGTGAAAGCAGCACACTGTACACACAAAAACACTGGTTAGGCACACAGTTAACCCTTTTATCACCCTAGATGTTTAACCCCTACCCAGCCAGTGTCATTAGTACAGTTACTACAGTGTATATTTTTAGCACTGATCACTGTATAAGTGTCACTGGTTCTCACAAAGTGTCAGTTAGTGTCAGAGTGCCCACTGCAATATTGCAGCCCTGCTATAAGTCACTGATCACCGCCATTACTAGTGTATGAAATAAATAAAAATTCCAGTATATATACACCATAGTTTGTAGATGCTATGACTTTTGTGTAAACCAATTAATATACACTTGGGATTTTTGTTTTACGAAAAATATGTAGCACAATACATATTGGTCTAAATTTATGAAGAAATTTTATTTTTTAAATTTTTTTCATTGGATATGTTTTATAACAGAAAGTAAAAAAAAAAAAAATTTCCCCAAAATTGTTGGTCTTTTTTTGTTTATAGCGCAAAAAAAAACCCCAGTAGTGATCAAATACCACCAAACGAAAGCTCTATTTGTAGGAAAAAATGACATAAATTTGCTGAATAGCAAAAAAAATGGCCTGGTTATGAAGGGGGGTAAATCTTCCGGAAGTCAACTGGATAATTCTTGTATGTAGATTTCTCCAAGGCACAAAAACAGGAAAACATTATAGGCTCTTACACGTGGACGCTTCAAAACACCATGTTTTTAGACATTTGTGCTTTTTTTTTATGATCTAAATGCAGTCCATTGTTTTTATTGGGCCTGTAGACACAGACACGTAAACTTTTGCTGAATATAGATCAGTTTTGGAGAATTCGGAATTCCACTTCTAAGTTTTGATTTCCTTTCCTCTCGTGTTTCCTCATTTGCTGAACCACTGAGGTTTCTCTGGGACTTTTCTTTGTTACAGCAATTTATCAGAGCACCGGATGAGGAAGAGTGAAAACAATTACTTTTGTATTCTAATAACAGGGAGTAGTCAGAAAAATGTTGTGATCTAATACATAATATACAAAATGAATGATAAAATATGAGTTAAAAGGGCATATTTACAGTGTATGTGCCCCTAGGTGTTAACCCATTCCCAGCCAGTGTCATAAGTACAGTGACAGTGTATAGTATTATCATTGATCACTGTATTAGTGTCATGGAGATGTGTCAGTGTCAGTCAGTTTCCACCCAGTGTCAGTTAGTGTTAGATAGCCCACCACACTATCACAGTCCCACTGCCATTACTAGCACACAAAAATAAATAAATAAATTAATAAAAATTCCAGTATTCCGTCATTTGTATATGCTAAACCTTTCACACAAACCAATCAATATACATGTATTGGGATTTTTTGTACCAAATCAAAATACAAGTTGGCCAAATTTTATGAAGAAATTAGATGTTTTTATTGGATATGTTTTATAGTAGAAAGTTAACATTTGTTTTTCAAGATTTTTGGTCTTTTTTCATTTATATAATAAAAAATAAAAAACCCAGAGGTGTTCGAATACCACCAAAAGAGAGCTATATTTGTGTGAAAACTAAATAAATTAATACATTTGTGTACAGTATTGCATGAGAGCTGAAATTACACTCTGCAGAGCTCAGGGAGAAGAGCTCTAAAAGAGCTGACTGGAGGGAAGAGACAAACCCCCCTCCACACAGCTCACAGGAACAGAGCTGAGGCTGTCAATCTGCTGGAGGTCCCTCCCCTGTGAGAAGTGATTCATTCAGATATCAGAGAAACCAGCAGACAGAAATGACATTTAGTGCTCTGGATTGAGCCGAGTACACACTATAGAGGGCTATGCTTTGTTCATATTTCATGTCTGAGGTTTACAACCACTTTAATATGTATATTTGAAGTACTCATCAATAAACAAATATGCAACCTCAAAGAATATTGCTATCTTCTTCAAAAAAGTATAAAACATCTTTTGTACAGAATTGTTTGTGGCATGTATCTAACTGTCAGTTTTATTTCTTTAGGCTACTACACCTCACAAAAATCTTGGTCTAGTGCCCCATCACAAGATCTATAACCAGAACATAAATGTACCCCCTTATAGCCATGTGATCAGCGGCCTGGCTCCCTACACAATATATGATGTCCGCGTGGCCTGTCTGAACAGTGAAGGGGTGTCCCACTGGACAGAATGGGTTGCTATGGAAACTATGGAAGGAGGTATGAAGGTGTGGCCTATGCTGAAATACTGTATACTGGATATATGCAGGGGACGTCAAAGCATCTATGATGCTTTTCTAGTGGTATTGACCTTTTAAAACATCCTGAGCCAAATTCATTACAACAGTTCCAGTAACAGTTCCAACACACATGACAGATTCAATTTTATAATGTGTTGTTTTGGCTGCAACAAATAAAAAATAAATACCACTAATTCATAGATAACAAAATTGGAGGTAATTAAGACCAACTTAAAATTGGACAGGCAGAGCTTTGGGGGGTGGGGGAAGGTGTTCTGTTGTTTATTTTATTGTGTTTTGTATTTGCTTCTCTGGTTGCTAGAATGCAGGCAGCCAGCTTCCTAGAAACCAGTAAAGCACTGAGCAAACTGTTGGTGCTATATAAATCCTGTGTAATAATAATAACCAGTGAGGCAGAGTGAGTCTAATAGCTGCTTTGAAATCCACCCCCTGCCAATCACGAGGCAGGTGGACCTGATAGGAAGCTAGTCCCTCAGAATCCCTATCAATTCCTGGGGAGTTGTGCCCGGAAGGTGGAGAAGGAGCCCATATGTAGCCTGAGGCTTGGCAGCAGAGTGAAGGGTTTCTGGGTGCAGTCCTTCAGGAGGAGACCCCTAGGGCAGAGAGACAGGGAGGAAGCCAGAGGAGCTTTTGAAGACATTGAGGTCCTAGCTAGGCTTAGCTGGGTGTCCTACCAAAGAGAGCTGGGTCCAGAAATTTAGCAGAGCCATATAAGAGTTGGTGGGAGGAAGAAGTGACTGGGGGGGGGTCTAACCCCCCAAGCAAGTGCAGTGCAGCCAGGAGTTGTGCACGCAGCCAAGAGCATGCAATACTGCTTAGAAGTTTGCCAAGTACATCCAGGAGTTGTGCAAGACAGCCTTCAGTTTTGCACAAAGCATCCAAGCAGTCCTCAAGTTGTGTGTCTACAGTTTTGGAGTATCTCATGCTCCCTTCTCTATCCAAGTTACTGTTCTAATAAAAGCCCTAAATGAAACCCCTAAACTGTTCTTTGAACCAGAGGAAGAATGCTAAATATGCCGTGTATGCTGTGAGTGGGGGAAAAAGGCCCAAAATAGTAGCGGCTCCTGTGGGGGTAGTGCTACATATAAATGGAGGACTGAACTGGTGGATTATGGCTGCAGGGTTATGGGAGGATGCAGAGGACTTTAGATTTCAACTAAGAAAGCAGCCAACAGCACAAAGGATACTGTGCATTGAATTTAAATACCGTCGCTTGTGCTGATTTTTTATTTTTTTGTTTTACCCAAACCTATATTTTAAATATGATTTTCATTGGTTTCACAGCTTATTTTAAGCTCAGCGACTTTATTAGTTTTACAGCTGCTTCTGTAAGTGTACCATCTTGCCTGTGTACCATGTCGACATTCTTTCCAAGTATCTCTGTGTCGACTAGTTCTTTCTTTTTACAGCCTCTGTTTCAAGCATCATGTAATTCTGTTTTCTCTGTGTCTGTGTTTCTCCTGGCAGAGGAAGGAAAGCAACTGAACCTTTCAGAGGGGCTCCTATTCAGCTCGGGCCCCCAGGTTAATTAGTATACAAGACACAAGCATTTCTGTCTGTGTCAGCACCCTTGCCACAATTCCGGCAGTGGTGGGCCCAGCGTCTCTCCACTTCTCCTTCTGATATGTCCATTTATTTCACTTCACTTTTTTTTTTTAACCACTTGCCTTTGTTCTGAATCTCTTTGCCTTTCCACAGCTCCAGAGTTTTCATTACGTGACCAGAAAGTAAAATGTAAATGAGTGAATATTAGGATACACAATGCAGGGAATTCCATAAAAAGGTCTCGGGGAGTTGAAGAGGGTTTAACACCCCCTTGTAAAGTTTGGCTGGAGTCTTTGGCCAAGGCAGGATTCCCCACCTGTTGTGCTTAAGTATATTTCAATGTGCAATAGGGACATGTGCTAAGTTTAGCAGCCCACCTAATTACAATATATGTCAACCTCATAGTTGGCAGATTCACAGGGTGGTTTTGGCTTTCACGATGATACATGTGAATTTTAAGGCACGGTTTATTTGATAAGGCAGTGCAAAGGGTAATGCTAAATATGTAAAGTGCACAAACTCACAGCAATCAATCAGATTGAAAAAGTAGTCATATAAGGGGAAGTTGAAATTTGATTGGCTGCTATGCATTATTAAACAAGCTGAAACATTTGCAGAGATGGTGCCAGTGGGATTGCAGATGACATCTTCTAACCCAGATAAAAATGAGGTTGTTATATGTGGCACAGAGGCCTCCTTCACATGCGTGATTAGATGTATTCAGTGGATTCCAGCTACAAGAATCCGCTGATTTTCTGGGATGGGATCACAGGTGTGTGCAAACAGTTTTGGCCACCCAGTCGGTACAAAGCAATGACTGGCTGAGCAGTGCCTTTGGAGCCATCACACTTTGCCTGTGTGCACACAAACCGTTATTATATGTCCAACTCTTGGTCACCTGCTTGAAAAAGGGGTCCTGCACGGCCCCCAAATTTTGCTATTTAATGCTGTGATGTGATCGCTTTTGAACACAATTTCAAAGATCCTTGGTGTGCTGGTGACATATCCCTTAATTCTGTGTCAATACTGGTCCCCAGCTGGTAGTCGTCACAGCACCCACTCACCTTGCAGCCATTGCAAGGAATGTGTGCATTGGGAATATTTCACTAGGTGTTGAACCGTGGACGCATCTGTCCCTAACCACAGGTAAACCGCTCATTGTGCAGATACATGTGGATAGTGAGAGTTTATTTCTGCCCCTCATTGATTGTTACAGGCTGAGCAGCTGCAGCTGTTCGCATGTACCTGTGGTCCCAACCACAGGAATCTGCTGATTCTTGCCACTGGAATTCTCTGTATGCACCTAATCATCCATGTGAAGGTGGCCAAACACTGTTTTTCTTTAGTTTTTGTATGATGCCAGCTTAAACATGTTGAGTGTATTCCAAAAAAAAAATTATGATGTCTAGGAGTGGGAAATCCCCATGTGACCTGTCCAACTGTTCTTTAATGTAGTTAGAAATGCTCTTTGATTGAATGCTATAAATAATAAAGCCACATTGTGCGTGAGTTGATTGTTGGCAATTACAATCTAGGTATAAAATAAGAGACTAATGATGTTTATAGGTGTTAATTGGTAGCCTCCTGCTCCAGCCATGTCTTTGAGGCACCAGATGACATTTCCAGCTACAGGATAGTAGTAATCAGACAGGCTAGAAAACATTGATCTGTAAAGTCTAATTTGTCCTCAGAGATATTGCAGCACATCTCTTCATCCCCCCTGTCCATAGCCTATACCTGAATGGTAACATTGGTCATAAGGGACCAGGCAAATGGAATAGATGCTTGAGCGAGGTCAGATTATACTTACTAGCTTAGAAACTAGCCATAGATAGGCAGATATCTGCCCAACCTCTCAAGTGTCAGGATCCGTGTTTATTTGGATTTCCACCAGAGACCAGTGCAACACACATGATCCAACTCTTTATTTCCTGTTCTCAATGAGAATACAGGATCAGTCTCAGTGTACAGAGGATTTGCAACAAGTTGAACAGTCTCCATCTGTGAAAAGAAGCACTTCTAACATTGTGGCTCACTCTGTACTTGAATAGAAGAAACATTTTGGGGATTTACCCGTCTGCCCGTGAATCTAACTAATGTAGCTGTCATGGTCAGGGGTCAGCCTCAGAGACCAGTAGCTACAGCATTAGAGGGTCCCCCACCTTCCAGCAGGATAGGTATTGTAAGCAGGGCACCCTGGCGGAGGACACAGACTCACCTGAGGTGCAGAGTATAAGTACTAACCAGTGTTCACCAGCACTCCTGATGGTGGAGATGGGTTTTGCTGCATGTTAATGCTAGGTTGCGATCCTCAGGATTACCTCACCAAGAGCTGGACAAGCCGGGGTCCAGTAGTAGATATAGCAGGTAGGGATCAAGCAGAAGGATAATCAGTAAATACGCCAAGTGTCAGTAATAAATAGTTGCAAGTTTGGGATCAAGCAGAAGTAGTCGAAGAACAAGCCAAAGGTCAACAACGAGTGGTAGTGGAGATACAGACAGCAGCAAGATCCATTAATAGGAGACTTTTGTTCCCCCTGTAGTTCCATCTGGTCCACCTGAAAATGTCACAGCAATAAAGAATGACACTGTTACCCTTGTGACGTGGAGGGAGCCGAGACCACCACTGAATGGTGTATTGAGAGGGTACAAGCTGGCATACCAATCCAAGGACCAACCAGAGGTATGAACTGAGTATCAGTACTGTCCTGTGTGTGTACCTGACTTGTGCTACTATACCTGGCTACTTGTTTACCTAACCTGCACATAATATTCTGTTTTAGGTTGTGATGGATGCTGGGCTTAACAGTGAGGTGATCTTGGAGATTGTATATCCAGTCCACAATCTGACAGTGAGGGTTTCTGCCTACACAGTTGCTGGTGATGGCCCATGGAGTGATCCTGTTATTGCCACTTTCAAAAATGATGGTAAATATTAACTGTAGAAGATTGGTCTATGATCATTTTATGCTTAACAGAGTTTTATGTATTACTTTTTTTTTTTGCAGATTCTTATTCTCCTCAAGGTGAGGAACAGAGCAAGCTTGGAGTTGTGCATCTGTGTAGGCTTTAATGTTGCATCTATCTTTGTCACTGTGTCTTGCTGCCGAGGGTAGGATGGACCTCTTTTATCTGTGTCACCCTGCAATTGATGATTTAGACTCCATGCCTCATAGTTCCCTTCTGTCTGTGTCACCCTCCAGTGGGAGGGCCAGTCTCCATGTCTCCTAGCTTTCTTCTGTCTGTGTCAACCTCTATTGGGGGGGCAGAGTCCATCTGCCAAAGCGAGATCCCATTCATGTCACCCTGCAATCGGTAGGATATACTCCATTTCTCATTGTTTCTTTCTGTTTATCACACTGTCATGAAAGAATAAACTTTGTCTTTTATAGCTCTTTGTATCTGTGTTAGCCTTCAAAGAATGACACATATCTCATATCCCTTGACTCATTAAATGTTTATCTTTCCACACAGCAGTCAGAGATATGGCATCCTCTCTTTTCTCCTGGCACTGGTGGTACGTGGTTCTGGTAGTTGCTGTGGCAATATTTGGTGCTATCATGCTTGCTATCTTCCTGGCTCGGCTTCGAAGGAAGGAAACACGATATGGGTAAGTGCTAAAGCTCCTGGGTATACATGCTCGAAGGACATTTGACTGAAATTCATATTCATGACGGTGTTTCTGGGTATCTACAGAGAGGCCTTTGAACCAACTGTAGAACAAGGAGAACTCGTGGTCCGATACCGAGTGAAGAAGTCATACAGCCGACGAACCACAGAAGCTACCTGTAAGTTAGTCATATATCTCCATCTAAAATGTTACTGCCAAGTAATCCCAGAGGGTGCAAAACAGGGTATTATCCGAAGGCATGTATTTTCTGTGGGTGGTTGCCTACAATATACAGGAATAACTCTTGAGGTAAGGTTCAGTATCAATAAGGAGGACTGGATTAACCCAAAAAAAAGACACCTATGCTTCATGGGTTTATTTTTGTTGTGCCTCCACCACTGCCTGACCAGTCATAAGCCCTCCACTTTTTAGAGAGTATGCTTTACTAATGGAAGTGGCTCTATATACTCAGTAAAGTGTTGCTTAAAGCGGTTATAAAGGCTCAAGGTTTTTTTACCTTCATACATTCTATGCATGAAGGTAAAAACCTTCTATTTACAGCTGTGCCCCCAGCCCCCTCAATACTTACCTGAGCCCCATCCAAATCCAGTGGTGTGTATGACAGCCTCGGCTGTTCCAGGTCTCTGCCTCCTCATTGGCTGAGACACAGTCGGTGCCAAGCCGTCGATCCATGTGTGAATGGACACATTGAGCAGTGGGTGCCCCCATAGCAAGTTGCTTGCACCCGACAGAAAGGAGGAGCCAAGAGAGTCTGCGGGGGACCCGAGACCCGAGAAAACCCACTGCACACAGCAAGTAAGTATAGACATGTTTATTATTTTACAAACAAAAAAAATAAACCTTTAGTATCACTTTAATATGTCAGCACTATTCATATGTTTGACTAAAAATTTCTGGCAGGCTCCTTCAACATAATTAAATCAGGCATTCAACTTTTATCAACTTTTATCAGTCAGAGAGGGTCAGGCAGGGCCACCCACTGAGGGAATTTTGGCTAGCTGGCTCATTGTATGGCCAGCTTAAGGTTAACTTTGAGCTTGCACAGGGATATTTCTTCAGCTTGTGGGTGAAACCTGGACCAGAGGGATGCAGGGAGGCAATAGCAGATAACTCGTGGTTCTTTAAGGTAGGGGCTTTTAGTTATGAAGGTCTAAAAGGGCAGACAGGTTAATTTTTTTTCTCAAACTCTATTTTAAATATCTGCAATTTACATTATAATACATCAACAAAATAGGAATACAGAGTACTAACAAGTAAAGGAATAAGAGGTAAATTAACAAACATGGAAATCCACTCTTGTATTCCATTGTGTAAACAGTGGATGTTCCATGGGATGAGTTTTATTTGGCTTATTGTTCTACTGCTAAAGTTTTAGAGCACATAAGCATTGCAAGATGTAAGATTTTTAGTGCCCAAGAATGGCATTCACCTTTAGGAGTTGTTTAATTTGAGAAAAAAATGTTCAACCTTCTTCTTTGATTTTTAGCTATCCAAAGTCAAAACCAATTGTTTGTTTGAACCCATTAATTGACATAAAACCAAGTTAACATTCACAAAACAACAAATTCCAAACAAATCTCTACAGGTCTATAGCTGGATAGGTAGATAATTCTGTCTTTCAACTTCTACCCCAAGTTCCAATATATATTAAGTGTCATAAAACCAAGGTAATGTTCAGAAATCAACAAATTCCAAGCAAATCTCTACAGGTCTAAGACCAGATAAGTAGATAATTCTGTCTTTCAACTTCTACCCCAAGTTTCAATATGTAACAAGTAGTCCATTTTGCTCCTGGGCCTTCATAAATGGGCATCTACGGATTAAGTAAAATGGTAAAGGTGAGTAAAAAAAGGTGGATGAAATTAAAAATGGGTGGGGACAAGGAATAAGGGCATGGGGTGCTGGGTAGGAAGGAAAGACACAAACCTCAAAATGGGGGTTACAATTTGTCCCCGATCCCTCTGCTAACCTCTTTCTCACAGGTTAATTTTAAATATGGTTAGCTTTCTCTAACCATAGCAGTAACGATTAATTGAAGGAAGGTCATATGGTAAGCTGTATACCGATAGTACAGGGCTGAAATTTTATGTACTATGTACATCCATAATGGGTGGAAAATGGGTGGGGGCAAAGAATAAGGGCATGGGTTGCTGGGTACGAAGGAAAGACACAGGGCTCAAGATGGGGGTTATAATTTTTCCCCAATCCCTCTGCCCACCTTCGCTTTCCCTAATCATAGCAGTTTATTTTATTTGTATTATTATTTATTTATTACAGGTACTTATACCTGTACTTACACAGCGCTATACATATATTGTACATTGACATCAGTGACCCTCAAGGGGTGTACAATCTAAGATCCCTAACTTATATTCATATACTAGGGCCAATTTAGACAGGAGACAATTAATCTACAATTACAATTGATTGAAGTAAGGTGAGATGGTAAGTTGTGTAACAGTAGTACAGGGCTGAAACTTTATGGACAACGTATGTCCTTGCTGATTGCTGAGTTTCCAATTACTTCTGCACTGGCGTGTAGCCTAAATACCTTCAAGGATGAAGTCAGCTAGTTACAGATTAGCCTCCAAATAGTCAAAAAAAAACACTGAGTACATTTTGTTTATTTCTAACAAAATGAATTTCAAAATTGAGCTATTTTGAGCTATGAATATTTTATGGCTGCTGACTGCTCTTGGTCATTGCAGATGTGAAGATATGCCAGTGAGTGTATTTGGAGGAGAAGGACTGAAGTATGGAGAAGGTAGCTGTGGGATAGGTGGGGTGCCCAGTGGACCAAATTCATGTACAAAAAATTTTGGAGGAGTCTGCAGGGAATCTGTCTGCACTCGGGCCATTTGGCTGAACATCAGGAAATTCCTGCTCATGTTTTGTGTTTAATAGAAATGGGACAGAGACAGCTCCATAGTTACTGAGCAAACCTCCTCCCGTCTATGGTCACCCCATTACTCCAGTGAACATCTGTTGTGGCTTCTGAAAAGCCAGAAAACTGGTTTTCTAGGAATTAAATACTGTAAATCAAGAAGCAATTGAGGTTTAGTGCATAAACAGAAATCAGTTTTGCTATAGTCATTTTCCAGATGTTACAGAGAAACTGAGAAGGTATAACTACTCTAGATCAGAGGTGTGCAGAGACGGGTATAACTAACCTCCTATGTACCCTGATGTCAAATATCAATCAGAACATCCCCACTTCACCTTATTAATGGGCAATGCCATCCAAAACTAAATGGATATGTGTACATTGTAAATGATGCGTCATTGGATTGATTTACTGAAGGCAAATAGATTTTCACTTTACAAGGTAAGTTGCACTTTACAAGGGAATTTTCCCAAGTGGTAAATGAATAAGGTAAAGCTCTGCTGACTTCCATCATCCAATCATGTCTTAGCAACAAAAATACAGTTTTGTTCCATACATGTGATTGGGTAATAGACAACCTTGTTCAGAGTAAAATTTCACCAAATTCACTGAGCTTTTGGGAAAATTCCTTTGCTGCTGTATGTTGTGTTCCATTACAAATATTGGCCCCATCTCTCTCATCAAAGCAGAGATCATGGTTCTTGTTTGGAGAATATTGCTGTCCTAAACTGATAAAGTGGTGTCTGTACTTACAAGGTAATTCTGCAAAAGTAAAGACTCCTCTTTTTCGGCAAACGTGCCTGGGAGAATGTTGCTTGGATGTTGCTTCAAAATATGAAGTGCTTCTGGAAACAAATTTTATCAATTAATAACTTGTTATTTGCATTATTTTACATAAATTTGAGAAAAATCAAGCAAGCCAGGTTTCAGTTGAAGAGTTGGGATACTAAAGTGGGTAACCACTATAAGGCTATAGTCCAGGCCAGGCTCTTATATGAAAGCATTGCACCCCTATGCCACATTTCATTTGAGATATATATTTATTTTTGAAAATGTTTCTTTGATAAAAACGCAGTCTTTTGTTCCTCTACTGGAATATCTGTTGTCAGGTTATAACAAACTAAACATTAACTGTCTGTTTAACCTTTAGTGAACCGGCTTGGAATTAGTGATGACCTGAAAGAGAAGCTCCGGGATGTTATGGTGGACCGGCACAAACTCACTCTTGGAAAAAACCCTTGGAGAAGGTTGGTAAAGCCACTAATAAGAAATGTTCTCATCATCACCTGAAATGTGTGTAAAGCAATTAGGAATGTCTTGAGTTTTTCAAAAACATGTACCATATGGACAGTGCTATGGCATTGGTTGTATGACCAGCCACCATAGACAACCTTGTTCAGAGTTTATTTAAAAAAAAAATGATCAGCCCTTCTATCTTTATATATCCATTCCAGGAAGACTATTAACATAACTTTAAGGTAACCATTTAGTATAGGTCTGTGTCTAACTATACTCTTGATGTATAATATAATAGATGAATAACATTTGAAAAATCTTTCTTTATACTGGATCTATATGTGTGCAAAATGGGGCAAAAGTTGAAGCTTTCTTATCTTGTTTATATGGTAACTAGAGCAGTTCAATATTAGCCCCTGTAGGGGCTTTGTGAGAGGTCAAGCATGAATACCGACATCTCTTTAGGTGATACCTGAGCCCTAGGGTTTACCTTTTGGATATTGGAGTAAATTATAATGAGAATACATTCTACTTTTAATCTGATAGTTTTACTTTTTGTTCACAGCTAACCATTTAATATAGGGCACACTCATGGTACCAGATATTCAGAGCATTGTGGGGGCTTTGGAATGAGAGAACACAGCAGAAGCTGTTTTCCTTCAGGCTGTCTCTCATTGAAAATGAAGCAGTAATTTTACCTGATTCTGCGCAGCCACAGTGCTGCAAGACCAGTCACCACAGCCTGGTAGGTGTGTAGGAATGAAGGAAGTGTGGCCGTTCCCCTTGGGAGATGTGTCTTCTGTACTAGCCCAGCATTATACCTTTTATATAGAGGGAGGAGGACCTAATGTTGGTTTTCAGTCTGCACCAGGCGAACAGGATGCAGCAATAAATGGAGACACTCCCTTTGGGGGCCTGGGGGAAGGAAGCCATGAGTTCTGGGGCCTGGAAAGGACACTACGGGAGCTCTGTTTAGTGAGAGGCACTACAGCACCCCCTTCTGTTTAGCTATGGGACTTTTGCTATTATAACCAGGGTGAGGACATCTCTTTTGTACCTTTCTGCCACTGTTTGGGAACTGTTCATGCCATGTACATTGGTTTGCAATAACAGCCTGTGCAACTATTTGCAATTCTCCTGTTATTTAAATAATGTTCAAAGAAAAGCAACAAAAGTCCTCTTCCTTGTGTAAGCCCTAGAGTGCAAGAATTGTGATACAGTAGGTTCAGCCTATTTTGAGAAGAAGTGAAAATATGTGTATTTGTGCAAACCTGATCGGCTAAGGAGCAAGTGGTGATTAGGGAAAAGGAATCACTCTCCTGGCAGCGACAGCTAATTCCCTCATGGAACACACCCCAGCTAACTCTGGCCCTGTGTGACATGGACTCCACTGGTTCGGTCAGAATCCCGGAGCTCTACTTTGAACCATGTTAACCACCTCCCTTCTGGCCGTTGTTTATAAACGGCCGGACGGTGGCAGTGCAGAGTCGGGTGGCCATTTATAAACGGCCTCCCCGCACCCTGCTTGTGCGCGCTCCCTGGACATAGTGAAACACTGATCGTCGGACCAGACCTCTGTACGAGGTCCTGATCATGTGATCACTGATTGGCTAATCAGTGATCACATACAGAGTAGTAAGCAAGATGTCACTTGTCATTGCTTACTACGTGTCAAATCTGTGAATAATCACAGAGGTCACATGGTACAAGGCTATTCACAACAGCCTTGTATCATGTGACAAGCTGTGACTAATCACAGCTCACTCAGTAGTTCTCAATGGCTGCAAGAATGCAGACAGAGAGAAAGAGAAATGATTGCTTTTACATCCTATATGGGTGTAAAAGCAATCAGTGTAATAAAAAAAAAAAAATCTTCATCACCCCCCACAAGTAGTACAGTGTCACCATGGTGACACTGTACTGCTAGGGTGACAGTATGTAAAAAAAATAATAATATTGATAATATAAAAAAAAAAAATAAAAATGTAAAAAAAATGTTTAAAAATGATCATTTTTGGTTATAAACTAATTTATATAAATTAAATTTTGGCCAAGATTTATTATGAAATATTATTTATTTGCAAAATTTTATAAGAAAAACCCTTTTTTTCCAAAATTTTTGGACTTTTTTCATTTGCATAGTAAAAAAAAAAATCCCAGTGGTGAATAAATACCACCAAAATAAAGCTTTATCTGTCTCAAAAAAATGGTAAAAAATTCATATGGGTACAGTGTTGCATGACCGCGCAATTGTCATTCAAAGTGTGATAACGCTGAAAGCTGAAAATTGCCCTGGACAGGAAGAGAGTAAAAGTGTCCGGACAGGAAGTGGTTAAATTAAAGGCTTGGGTAAGAAGTTCTCTGGGTGTATAGGGTTAATTTGGACTACGGTCAGGAGGATGTGGAAATATTGTTTCAGACAAGCATCCATGCATATGATGTCTGCATGGGCCTGGGCAGTGAATACTGTGGGAGCAGTCCTGGAAGTCCTGTTTGTAGGTGGGGCTCAGGGGCATAGATAAGGGGGGGGGGGGGGTCAGGAGGGTCTGAATTCCCCCAGAGGAGAGTTTCCAACCATCCCTGCAGCCCTCAAAATTTCCACTCGCCCTTCCACCCACCCCTCCCTTCCTTCCTTCCTTCCTCCCATCCACCCCTTCCTTCCTTTTAACCACCCACCAACCCCTCCCTTCCTTCCTCCCACCATTCCTTCCTTCCACCCACCCCTCCCTCCCTCCCTTCCTTTTACCCACTCCTACCTTCCTTCCAACCCTCCCTCCCTTCATTCCAACCACTCCTTCCTTCCACCCACCTTTCCTTATTTCCACCCACCCACCCACCCTTCCCTTCCTTCCACCAACCCCTTCCTTCCCTCCACCTGCCCCTCCCTCCCTTCCTTCCATCCACCTCTTCCTTCCTTACACCCACCCTTCCTACCCTACACCCACCCCTTCCTTCCTTCCACCCCTTGCTTCCTTCCATCTCTCCCTTCCTTCCTTCCACCCACCCCTCCCTCTCTTCCATCCACCCTTCTTTCCTCCACCCACCCCTTCCCTCCATCCACCCACCCTTCCTTCCTTCCACCCACCCTTCCCTTCCTTCCTTCCTTCCTTCCTTCAAGGGAGAGAAGTCGGTGTGTGTGTGGGGAGCAGTAAAAATGCAGCTGCGAGCTAAACCCCCCCCCCCCCAGAAAAAAAAATTATCTACAGCCCTGGTGGGGCTCCAACTATGCTCTGATAGTCAGATGCCACTGACAGCATCAAGACCAACACAGGGCCTGTAGACCTGCATTGGGTGAGTCCACCACTAGAGCATAGGGGAGCACTGCCTGCCAGGGGAGGAGAGGATCAGTTAAGTAAAACTGCTTTTCCCATCCCCTGGACCTAAATGAGCATTTAACCCTTGCAGTGCATGGGCAACTCCATTGCAAAAGGTGCTTTTTTACTTTTCCTGGTATTGGACTTATAATTTTCATAATTGCATTACAGAGAAAAGTAAACTTTTGCCTTTTTTTTTTGCATAATGAACAAAGAAAAATATACAGTATACAGAACAATACACATTCTTCATAGTCCCTAGAGCAACTTGTTCGACTGAAGAGTTAAAGTAATCTCTACAGAGTCTGGCCTGTAGCATTTCAGACTTCCTCTAGGAATTGACATTGACTTTGAATTTAATGAGATGAGTCCCTCCTGTCTGTTGCAGTGTGTTTTCCTATGTGTGGGAACAGTCACACAGTAACACGAGCCTTGCAAGCTCCATTTCCGTTCTCTGTCTTATCCTACACAGTCTGGAAAAGCAATCGGAAAACAGTCCTTGTTCTAATGGCTTCCTCTGTCCCTCTCCAGGGAGTGTGGACTCCAAGCAAGCCTGGCCCTCTTATTCCTGCAGGGCAGCTTGTTAACCCAAGGCCTGCTGACTTTTTATGTATGCCAAGAAAGGAAGGAAGGACAGCTACTGTAACTCTGTTATGTGTATCAGCCTCAGCTAACATGAATCTGCACCATATGCATTAGACATCAGGGATGTTTGGTGCCTGTAAAGAGTATTGGCCCCTCAGGGCCAATTTATAGCAATATAATCTGAGACTGAGAGTAAAATAAAAATGTGTTTTAAAGGGAATTGTGTTTTTTTTTATTACATATATGTATTGTGATATGGGGGTTGGCTAACACAATGTGGTAGATGTGTTAGTGAAACATGTCAGTTCAAAGGCATGGCTGCTCACTTTCAGGCCTGGTTCACACCTATGCATTTTTTAGTGCATTTTGCTTTCTTTTTTTTGGCAATAGGAAAGTATTGGCTTTGATGCCACTTTGATGCCACTTTGGATGGGTGCCACGTTGATGTAACTTTTTTTTTTTTTGCTAATACTTAAGTATGACAGTTATGTTCATGTAGTGCAACTCTGATGTGACTTTAATCTCTGGCACTCAGGTAGCATCAAAGTAGCATCAAGGTCATATCCAAGTCGCACCCATCCAAAGTTGAATCAAAGTCACATCCAAGTTGCACCCATCCAAAGTCACTTCCAAGTCGCACCCATCCAAAGTTGAATCAAAGTCACATCCAAGTTTCACCCATCCAAAGTCACATCCAAGTCGCACCCATCCAAAGTTGAATCAAAGTCACATCCAAGTTGCACCCATCCAAAGTCACTTCCAAGTCACACCCATCCAAAGTTGCATCTAAGTTACACCCATCTAAAGTTACATTAAAGTTGCAACCATCAAAACTTGCATGAAAGTCGCACCCATCCAAAGTTGCATCAAAGTGGCATCAAACTCAATACTTTCACCAGCAAAAAAAAAATAAAATGCAAAAAGCCATAAAAAAAAGTGTGTTCGAAAACACAAAACAGACTGAAGAATGTGCTAGAAAAAAATGCATCAATCACAACATGCAGAGCTCTAAACCTATGGTAATTAGAAAGGACACCATTGACACAATGGTTGCCCACGCGGGGAAATCGGCTTCTCACAGTAACAGTCAACTAAAAATGCTAGCCCACCTGGCTACTCTGTGGCAGCACAGCTGCTATTAGAAGTGGTCCCTCAGACCACCATCTCTTTAGTCTCTCTAAATAGCCTCTAAATAGGGTTCTCCAATCCCCTCAAGCTTGATCACTCCTCCGGAGACCTCCAGAATCCCTCCAGCCCCCTTGACCTGCTAGCCGCCTCAGCTATCTCAGTCTCCCATACCCTCTCTTGGTCTCCCAGCTGTCCCAACCTTCCCAGTTCTCAGGTAGGAATTCACCCTCATAAGGGATGCAGTCTCCAGCGTATACATCCAGATCTGTTGACAGGGCTCTGTGTCCAAATGGCAGCAACTGCCCTGAGCTATCATCTGATGTGGCTCATAATAAGAGTGTACACTTGGACATACATACAACTTGCAGAACTTAAATAAAACCTGCTCACAGGAATGAAGGTTCTGTTCCATCAAAGTTTCTTTGGAACCTTCAAACTCCAGGCCCTGATCCAGGATTACCAATCCCAGAGAAAATTTTAAACACAGTTTCTCTGCTCAAAAACACACATGAAGGAACTTCTCAAACTGCAAATGTGAGAATTCTGTGTCATTTTTCAAGCATTACCTAAATTTGCAGGGCCTCACACTGTTACAGTATGTAAAGAAATGTGACTGGTGTACTCTCTTGCCAGTCATATAATATATACCTGTGGCAACAAGAAGGGTGGAGATGAAGGCCTCATTCACAAAGATGTACCGGTCTGTACACCCATGCATAGGGTCGTTTACACCTAAGTGGGATACACAGGTACAGCCTTGTGCAGGCAGCCTGTCCAAAGAAATGACAGATGCACAGACTTGCGCAGGTCTTCAAGTTCATTCCATAGTATACATCTGTGTGGATCCGATGCAAGGATTAGAACGCTGTCTGTCTATGTTTCGATTTGTGCTTTGGATCCGTAGGTACATACCCTGGGGTGCATTTGGAGATCTGTGCACCCAGCCTCCTGTCATCGATTTTAAACATGCTGCCTGCACAGGGCTGCACCAAACATCCATGCATCTCATGCAGGTGAAGACAGCCCTTTGCACAGGTGTATGGATCGGTACACCCTTTGAAGGAGGCCCAACTCCCACACATATGTGCCCATGACAGATTATTAATATTATTATTATACAGTGTTTATATAGCGCCAAAGGGTTTGCTCAGCGCTGTACATTAGCGAGGGGGACGCTTATCTGCTGACTTCGGTCTCTGTTTATGATCAGGAGCAAGCAAGATGAGCTCCCAACCATCAGTCCACTGTGAGAGCCAATCACAGTAATCAAGTGATCAGGAGGTCCTGCTCCCTCCAACCTTAAGACCCAGTTAAAGGACCACCAGGAGATGGCAGGAAGGAGATAAGGTATATCCAATCACATTAAAGTGGTAGTAAACTCTTTTTTTTGTTTGTACCTACAGTAGGTAAATTCAATATCTCCTAAATGTGCACCATGTAGGAGATATGCTAGTGAGCAGCAGCCGGTGATGTCACCGACGCATGCACTCTGAAGGAACAGCATCAGAGCTGTGAGCCACCACTGAGACTCCCAGTCAAGAGGCCACAGCCCACGAACCCTGAAGGAAGACTGGGTGAAGCCTCCTCTGAGGTGACAGCATGCCGCTAGAGGGCTTCACTTAAAGGAAATCTTTCATAATGTGCTAGTATGCAATGCATACTAGCACATTATAACTTTGCCTTGCAAGGAGAGGTTTTTTTTTCCTCATGTTTACTACCGCTTTAACAATAATGTATTATATT